TTATGTTAATAATAAATTGATATATTTTATTAACGGTAATAATCTATATCGATGCATTATTGATGACATAAACAGTACGGATCACCATAGTTATAGATAATTAATTAGGTAATGATCTATATCGACGCATTATTGTTGGAAATGTTGCTTTTCTTGTTTTCTTTAGGCGTAAACTCCATTATTATTCTAAATAGAGGTATTTTTGGAGTAAGAATTTCGATGAAAGTACCCTGAACATCTTAACAAGGAAAAGAAAGTTGGATTTGACATCTTTCAAGTCCACGGTATTTATGCAAGTCAAGCTCAGTTTTGTTTTTTCAATTCCAATCCGTACCACCGACCATTGCCACAAATAAAGAGAAGCAATTCAATTACGCACCTAACACTCGCAACAATTATCATCTCAAAACTAGCCCTATACTTTTTTTTTATCAAAGAAACCAAAAACACAAATAAAAACCAGTAACGTGCCATCCACATATTCCAATTACAGCCCTACCACATTGTCGAAAAAAACTGGGTTGTGCTTGTGAAATAGATCTGTACACGTGGTGCTTATAATTTCATAATTTGTTCGAAATTACTTTGAGATAATACATATATATGTGTTATGCGATGCAGAAAATGACATGCATTTATTCACCCAAAAAAAGAAAATGACATGCATAGTTGGCCGCCTCAATTATTATAGCCGGCAAGGTGACCCTAATTATAGGCGTATATAGCTATGGATTGTAGCTGGCTGCTGCCTCATAAGCTGCGAGGAGGGAGGGAAGAAGGCCAAGTGTTGGTTTGGAATTGGGTGGGAGGCACTAAAATGAGACTAAAGTTTTGTTGTGCCTTTTATCTAAATGTATATGCTTCATATTTTTAGTATGACATTACAACTTAAGTATTTAAGTATTACTCTCTGTCTCTCTCTCTCTCTCTCTCTCTCTATATATATATATATATATATATTGTTTTACATCGCCAGTTATTTGCATGCCATGCCAAATTGCCAATAACTTGTATTGTAGGCCAAGTCGAGCGAGGAAGGAGGAGGGCTTGACGTTGACGATCTTGAATTCTTTGTCAGTTTGCTAGATGACAAAAAATTGATTTGTACAAAATTCTCTAATTCTATGCAAAAGAAACCAAGGAAGTTCATAGTGAAATTTCGAAGAACTAGCTAGCATATGGCCACTGTAATCCACAAACTTCTTTTTTGTGGTTCCAAATTTATTTTTATTTTCGAGTAAGAGATGCATATATAGGGGGCTAGCTAGAGATTCAATAGTTTGTTAATTAATAGAGAAACTACAATTAGAGCCCGTTGGTTACGGTTTTGCGAAATGTTTTTGCGTTGCAAAATAAAAGACGACCTGTTAATGGGGTATAACTCAGTTGGTTGAGTTCTTTCATCTCCATCTATGTGGTCAAAGATTTGAAACCCCTAGACACCCAATAAATATTTATGTGAACCCCCATCCGCAAATCACTTGTACTCAAAAAAACAAAAGATGACCTTAGATTGTATTTGGTTGTGAAATACAGAAACATTAGTGACATGCAAAGTCCGTCACAAAAAGAAAAAAAAGTGTATAAATACCCATTAGCGACGACATCACGTCGCAATAAAAGGCATCTCAGATCTCAAGTCATATGTAAACAATACCATCTCTATATATAAAACAAAATATTACGGATTCAAAAGTATTAAAATTAAAAACTTGAAGGAGTCATCATTATCTTGTATTAAAAACTGCAGCTTGCTATTAACATTAAGTCTTCTTCAGTGCGTACTTGAGGCATCCAGAATCTATTTATGACATCAAATATAAAATATTTCGAAGTTACATAAAAACTAAGATCACTTAAATTTTAACAATATTTATTCTTTAATAAGAGAAATACATTAAATATAATGTACATGTCCGCTTCCGCTTTCTTCTGGGTGGTTTGGAAACTAACATGAGTCACTTGACTGAGTTGTGAGCTGACTTCATTTAACCAACATGTGCATCACTTTAGTAAATATCTCCTCTCTAAATGACTCATGTTATTCATCTTCTTCCATTTATTTCAAACATTAGTTGAATTGATTCTACAAATACACTAGCAAATTAGTTCATTGGCTAAAAGATAAAATTTCAAAACAACAACTTTATATTCAAACTTACAATAACATCAGCACTATCCTCATCAAAAACTTCATCTTCATCATTTTTCTTCTTCTTTGTTCTATATGCCTTAGGGGCATCTCTATTATCCTACAATTATAACATTTTAATTATCAATCAAACTCATCAATACACATACATTATCACAAATATAATTAGAAGGTTTTGTAAGATATGTTAGAGGAAATTTTTTTCCATTTCGTGATATGATTCCAAGTTATGAACTAAACAATGATGCATTCGCTTTAACTGGCTTCCACTCAGGTTCCCCATGTTGAGTCCAATTTTTGTACTTGGACCTAAACCCATGCCCTCTTACTACATCCCTTATGAACAAATAATGATTGTGAAATTTCTTGCATGGACAATAAATCCTTGTACCATCCATATTTTTAGAAAATGCAAAATCTACAAAATTCTCAACTCCAGTGAGATATTGCGTAGATGTTCGATCCCATATATTTATCCAACTCTTGTCCATACTTTTTTATTTGTTATCCAACAGGGGCGGAGGTACTCTAGGGCCTGAGGTGGCCCTGGCCCCTCCACAATTTGTTCTTAACAAAGTAAAGCTTGGGTTTTAGTTCATATATTTAACAATGCAAACCAAATAATCATTCTAATGCCCCCCCAATTGCAATCCATAATAACTTCATTTATAATTATATGTAAAATGTTTGTGGGCCCATTACACAACTGACATAAAAAAGGAAGTATTAATCCTCTAATAATCAAACCGATGAGCCAAAGGAATAGAAAATAGTTTGACAAAAAAAAAGGGAATATGAAATAAATAGTTTAAAGGGAAATGAGATTTTATCAGTAGACTTTTCCGTTTTGATACATGAAATTGAGTATAAAGTTCTAAAAAATGTCCATTTTTTCTTATATATATATATATATATTATTGATGTAAGATTGAATATTTTTTTTCTATACTTGTATTACGGTTTGGCCCCCCACACATACAATTCTGACTCCACCATTGAAGAAGAAAGAAGAAATAATACCTACCAATCAAAATTAGAAAATAATACTTGTAGAAACATAAAGTTGTGGGAGATAGGCAATCTGACCTTCTAAATTTAAGATTTTTATATCAATGAAAACCACAACTATCGTTCACACGAACAATTCTTTATTGAAATCTTTGAATCTACAATAAGAAAGACAAATTAGGAAGATTCTAATTTTCTTGTCTAAAAAAAAATAAAAATAAAATCATGAATACTAATTGTAATAATAAAAACAACCTTAACAAACCCGAAGTGCTTTAGTTCTAAATGAAATCAGTTCTAATTTTCAATTTTTCAGAGAAAACAGAACAATCAAAGGCTACTACAAACTGACGACAACCACCAAACCAAATTTGTAAGGTAGCCTCACTCTATATATCTTGATGGGATCAAGTTCCCAACTCCAACCCTATTTACACTATTAATACGCCAACTCCAAAAGAAAAATGTGGTCAAATTTAAAGACACATTAATACGATAACTCCTAACTTACTTACACAATTACAAACATAGAAAATTTGGGGCTAAGTTTCATGGTATTTTCGTGATGTTACTAATTAAGGTGTTACAATTATGTTGGCACGAATCACCAGCGTGCAAAATTACATATATTTGCGTGAACCGCATCGACCATCGTAAATACTTGTCGCAAAATAGGCATTTTTCTTGTAATGGAGAATACACTTAGAAAAACAATTCAATTTTGTACTTTAGTTTAGAAAGAACCAAAAAATTATTTTCCTAGGTTTCATTTTTACGTTAAAATTGAAAAATACGGGAAAGACTTGTAATAGAAACACTGCAAAGGTTTCTCACTTCGTCAACTTTCCACTTTGAGTCTTCATTATATTTCGGCTGCCCATCTAAAATATCTTACAAAATTAATTGAATTTTGGACATTAGTTTAGAAACCAACCAAGACCTATTTTTCTCATTTTTACGGTAAAATTGAAAATATGAAAGTCTTGTCAAGAAACACGAGAATACAAAGGTAAAAGCTTTCACACTTTGTTGAATTTTCACTTGTTTTCGCTCTCCATCTAAAGTCGTTTGTCTTTTCACAGCTCAGTTGAAATAAATTATATTGACAGCTGTTCGGCACTTCAAAATAGTCATCATGCACTTCTCTTTAATGAGAATGATAAAGGAGGGAGGAGTGCATAATGGATTTTTTTGGGTGCTAATAATACTTATATTTCCTTATTTTCTACTAAATATATAGATAAACACCCACATAAATTTGTGTATATTTCAATTGAGCTCTCCTTAGCTCAACTAGAAGGGTTGTTTTATTTACAATGTGATGCATTAAGTTTTATCTTTACAATTACAATCACAAGGATATTGATCTAATAGTTTTAAAAATAAATAAATAATTGTATAAAATATCCTTGTAGTTGGATATATTAGTCGGGTAAAGTTCATATAATTCATAGTCTTGGAAGGATCCTTGGATATTTTATGCTGCTAAATTATTTATGAAAAAATAACTGCACATGAATTAATCTGCGAATGTTAACATATTATTGGTTGAAGAAAAATATAGTAAACCAAATTATACAACAGCGGGTGTAGAGAAAGAGCCTTAGACTGTCACACAGGGATACATATTTTGACCGATTTGAAGTCAAGCTGAAGGAGAGAGAATATTTTCTCATACAAGCGCGTAGAAATTTCCAAGCAACTCAAAACTGTCCCTCCTTTCTCCTTTCACTCGGCTTCTTTTGATAACCTTTTGCTCATTTGCCTAACTTCAATTCATCCTATATATAATGAGCCTCTTGTACGTAAGTGAAAATCAAATTAAGCACAATACGAGAGAGAGAGAGAGAGAGAGAGAGAGAGAGAGAGAGAGAGATCAGATGGAGGATTTGCCACCAGGGTTTAGATTCTACCCAACAGAGGAGGAGCTGGTTTCGTTTTATTTGCAGAACAAACTGGAAGGGAGGAGGGAGGACTTGAACCGAGTCATGGACCGAGTCATACCTGTTCTTTACATATACGAGTATAATCCATGGGACCTCCCACGTAATTAAACTTCTCTCTCTTCTATCTGGTGCATTATCTTCTTTTTGAGGTGTATATATAGGATAGGTTGCATCATTTTAATAACATGAAAAAAATAATGGAGGTCGCTTATGGAATTACTCCTCATATTATAGTTCATTGCAATGTCATGACTTCAATTAACTTGTATTTCTGTTTTGTTTATACTTCAATTAATTAGTTGGGTTATGTAATGAATTTATAGAGTTTTCGGGAGAGGCCTGCCATGGAGATCCAGAGCAGTGGTTCTTCTTCATCCCAAGACAAGAGAGTGAAGCTCGAGGAGGGAGACCGAGGCGACTCACAACAACTGGGTATTGGAAAGCAACTGGGTCACCGAGTTTTGTTTACTCTTCCAATTCCAATCGAGCCATCGGCCTCAAAAGAACCATGGTTTTCTACAATGGTAGAGCTCCTAATGGAAGGAAAACCGAGTGGAAGATGAATGAATATAAAGCCATTGAAGCTCATCATGCAGATCAAAATCAACCATTGATTGCCTCTTCATCGTCAAACGCCCCTTCTGCTCCTACGGTACTAATTAATCATATATCTCCAAAATTACTTTTTTTTTCTTTTTCGAAACCTAGATATCATATAACTTGTCAAATAATTCGTAATAATTTTGAGCACACAAGATCTAACCCTACATTTAATTTGCGTATCATAAAAACTCGAAAAGACTTGATATATGTATGTTAGTGGAACCGCTTGGACCACAATGTTTTTCTTAGCACTAGTTATATATCAATTTATAGGTTTTTTTATGAGGTTTTGGGGTTGTGCTTGTTTTAAGAAATCGATGATAGTTTTGTAATTAATAGGAAATTTGAAATCTCTTTGTTATGTTGTTAATGAAATATCTACCAAATTAAAACTTCATAAACTTAATTATGTTGTTGCTCTAGATTTATTAATTTATGTTGGCATGCATGCAGTTGAGGCAAGAATTCAGTTTGTGCCGAGTGTACAAGAAATCAAAATGCCTGAGGGCATTCGACAGACGACCTCTAGGGGTGGAGATCATGAGCAACCCTAGTTTGAATTTGAATCAAACGGCTGCTGCTCATGAAAGTGCAGGTCATCAGGATCAGGGTTCAACATCACATAGCAGGAACCCCCTCATGGGTAGTGATCAGAGAAGAAACTCAAGCTCACCAGAGAGTTCATCCTCAGGAGATCATCATGGCCCTCAACCACCCTCTCAACCTGCAGGTGAAACTGGAACCTTGCCAATGGTCATTGATAATGAAGCACTTTGGGATTTGGAACAATTGATGATCAATAATAATTGGCTTTAAGGAAGAAAATAAGGAGAAGATTATTAGTTTCACTCAAAATGAAATTGATGATTTGTAGAGTTTAACCAAGTTATGAGATAGTTGTATTAGAGTTATGGACAAAATGCCAAATCTTGTTGTGTTAGACTTGTAGCTTCAAGTGGTAGAGAGTACCTTCACATGTAAGGGCAAAGTTTGAAGTACATCTCTTGATATTTCCTTTGTAACAAATAATAACTATAAGTTTCTTTGCACACTGTACCTTCATGTATTATATATGTTTCTTGGATTATATGAATCTTGAGATTTTTCAGAAGTGGAGAATAGTATTTGTTGGTAAAATGGTGAGAAGTAATTCATAAGTTCTGGTTCTGATTTAAAAGAGATGTTAAGTCATAATCTAACTCCTTCAGCAAAATAAAAACTAAACGTCATCATTGAACAGATTGATCATTAAAAATCATGTTTTCTCCCAAGGTTTTTAAATAATGGTCTAAATATGAGATATGTTTATAGATCAACTAATGTGAATGATTGGAATTGCATCGAGAAGGGAAATTCCCTAGTTGAAAAGATTTACATCATCGTCATCATGCATGTGAAGTTACTATCACACATAAATCATTTCCAAAATGCAAATACTACACATATTCCATGCATAAGCCGCCTACAAAAACAAAATGTATTTTTTTTAATTGGTTCGTGTTGTAAACAAAGTAGGCAAGCATCCAAAAATACATACATATGTACGCACAAGCACGAATCTAGTCAAATATACGTACACATGCATAAGGAGAAATTCTTTAATTTGACGAGTGGATTACATCATATATTCGGCCATACACACAACACAAAAAAGATTTTTGTATTAAGATTGATGTAATCCACCTGCCGAGTTGAAGAATTTCTCCATAATTAAAAGGGCGGTGCGGCAAATTCTTTGGTTATCAATCAATCAAATTACCTTTTGGGTGACTAAGTGAGAAATTTTTATGAACTTTACCTACTTCATATACACTTGTATGCATCAGACTTTAGTGTTGATGTCGATGAGATGTCGATAACAATAATCTTTGACCTTTGTATTTCACCATAAAATCAAAGAAGCTAAATTGAGTTTTGCAAAAGAAAAGCTCTTGGAAATTCCTAGGTGTGAAAATACTTGATTATTTTCTTTCTTATCATTATGTGCCAAGAAGAATGTGGTCTTCCACGTGCAAAATGGAGGAAGTTAGCCACAGCAAAGTCCCCGAAGTCCCAACAACGTTGCTTCGTCTGTTTCTTGTATCTCCGCAAACTGAAATAGTATACACGTTTAGTCAGAAACACGCATGAACCGCCACTTGACTTTGTTCATTCTTTTTTCTCCAAATTTAAGGGATCATTATTCCTTCCCCAAGAAAAAAAAACCATACACGTATGTCAGTTTTTCCATGAAAAAGATGTTCCTTATCGTAAGAAATGTATACATATTTGTTTTAGGATTATACATAATGTATTTTCCACATCCGAACCGCCCAGATTTTAGGTCATCATCTTTCAATGATTATTTCTGTAAAAACACATTCGTATCAAAAGAGTTTTTAATTATTTCCGATTTAGCTGTTTTTTTCCCTCTCTCTCTCTCTCTCTCTCTCTCTCTCTCTCTCTCTCTCTCAAGTAGTTTTATTAAATTCTTCTATATAATAATTGACCAATATGTATTATTTTTTAAGCAATAATGTTATATACGACTTTAAAATATGACCGTACAAACAAACGCTTAGCGACCAGAGTCGTGGTTTAAACCATGAATAGGTCATCCATGATATCTAGGATGATGTCGCTTCATAAGAAACAAGAAAAACCAGAAAGTAGAACGTAAAACATGATTTTGTTGCTGCAACATAATTTGTTGAGGAGGGTTAATGTCTTTACAGCCACAAGGACATATATGATTATAATTATTTAATTCTCTTTAAGTGATAAAGAAGAATTTTAGATTTAGGAACAATCTACAATGACAAATCTATGTACCTTCTGTAATCTTTTGTTTTTTTTAGTATAAGCGATTGGAGGATGGCAGTTTACACAAATATTTATTGGGTGTCTGAGATTTTGAACCTCTGTCGATGAAGGTGGAGATCCAATTGAGCTCTACCTCATTGGCTTCTGTAACCCATTTTAGGTTCTAGATCCAAATATGAAACAAAGAAGAAGAAGAAGAAGAAACAGTCAGGTTTATGTTTTTTGTTTTTTGTGGGCGTGGATTAGATTTTGGCCAGATTTTTGTCGGGCATCCAATGCCATTCATTTTTGTAGCATAAGATAAGACAGTGGACTTCCGACTAATCGTCCCTTGCAAGTTGCAAAGACCTTCAAATCAGCCCATGGCTACAACCTGGCCCAAAAGTCAGAGCTCAAAAGTCTATGTATATGAAATCCAATCTTTTAACCATCAAATCAAACTAACCAATTTGATCCAACAGCTAATCAATTTGATTCGACGATTAAGAAGCCATAGGGCTTTTCTGAATCCAACAGCTAATCAATTTGATTCGACGATTAAGAAGCCATAGGGCTTTTCTGAAAGTCAATACCCAAATGGGTGGGTGCTTTGTGAATAGAATGTTTTTCCTTATGACCAATTAAAGAAGAATGTTCTTCCTTTGTTTTCTGTGTGCTTTGAATGGCAATTGAAATGGAATGTTCTTACTGGTGGCTGGTTGGTGGCTTGTTGTTGTGTGTTGGGTTCTGCAGCTGTTTTTTGAGGTTTCTTATATGGCTTGTTTTACTTGAGTTTTAGTTTCTGAGAAGTAATACAGGTTAAGGGGGAAAAATAGGTTATTTTATGCAAGTTATACTGCGAAGGAAATTAAGGGGGCGTTATGTATCAAAATCAAGTATTGAACTCAAAAAAATTGATTTTTCTTAGGAGTTCTAAAATACACTTTTTAAGATTCAAAAACTTGTTTGGTATGTAATTTAAACATTGTTTCTTAAAAAACAGATTTTTTTTTCCTTCTTCCTTCAAGTATTTGAATATTTTTGAGTTCGGATTTTCTAAACCGGACATACCAAACATATTTTCTGGGTTTTAGACTCAAATTCTGTTTTAAAATTTTTGATTCAAATAAAATACCAAACATGCCCTAAAGTTCCAACTCAAAAACCAATTGGAAATTGGGAGAGTGATACAACTCCTTATAAGCCCTTGCAAGATTTCTTAACTTTCCAATGTGGGACAATTTCTTCACATCCTCATAGCCATGTCGAATTTTATTTTATTTTTCCCTCTCTTCCATCTGATCTGAACTGGTATCATCAGCTTGATAAAAGAGATGCATAGTATTTAAAGATCAAAATTCTAGTTAAATTATATTACATAGCAAATACCACTATCACACAGAAGCAATCCCACATTAACCAGAAACCTAATGTCCTGCCCAAATCGGTTAAAGGGGCAAATTAATCAAGATGCCTTTGAACATATTACAAACTGATAAAAATAAATTGTCTTTGAACATTAGATATAGAACACATTTACAAAAGGGAAGAGTCTCTATTCCTTTTCCATTGTATGCATATCACACTTCATGCAGTTGTTTACATTACATAATTGTTGGCCCCAATGATTGCCAGTCAGTAGTAGATAAGAAGCTAGGTTTTTTATGTTCATCACCACTCATCTTCGAGGCTGGCACGGTGAAAGCACAAGACAGTGCAGACAAATATGAGGAATGAAAAGAATTCGATCCACATAGCAGATGTCTCAATCAAATGAGCGTGCCTAAGGATAATGGGAATGGCTATGCTCCCCACAGTTGATGCTCCAGTCAAAAATTTAGCAGCATTTACCCACCTGCAATATAATAATTTTATTTAATCGAAGAATATGACCTGAAAAAACAAGAGAAAGCCAACAAGGAAGCTGTTCATGTAATTTTGAATTATAGAGGTTCTTTGCAAACTCAGTTTACAAGTTACAAAAGTTCCATAGGCTGGTTGTCAAACTTGTCACAACTAATTTAGGGTAAAACCACAATTACATACATAACTACTTATTGCTCTGTTTTGTGACCCTAAAAAGGAGCAATATTTTTTAAGTTTGGCCCTTCTCTCAGCGATATTCCAATGTGTACCTTTTCACTTGTTCTATTCTAGCTAGTGTTGAATTTCTTGAATGGGCTATATGTCCCTTGGCAGTTTTGGAAAATCACAACCCCCTTCAATACTGAGGTTCTTCCTTTGTGTACATTAGTAGCCCCTTTTGTTCATTTTGAAGCATACTTCAAAAAATTGATTTTATAGAAAGCTAAAATTTATGGTGTTAATTTAAAAAATAAATCAATTTTTTCTTGGGGACAGTAACTATCGAAACGAATTGAACCAATGACTTCAATCCTGAGGTATTCAGAATATCATCCAAACCATGGCAGTGATCTTAAAAAACTTGGTTATATCCAGTTGTGAGTTCCGACAAAAAGGCTGACAAATAAATCGGTGCATGGCACACAAGTATCTTGGCATTATAAACAAAAATACGGGATATCTATAATGAATGAAAAATTATAGAAATACCAGGTATACATGAGAGGGTTACATTATAGATGACCTTTTTGGTAAGTAAAAGTGCTTAGAAAATACTCACCCATCACTTTCCCTGCTAAGCAAAAACTGAGTAGAACCACCACCAAAGAATAAGCAAGGCATGGGTACGAGCACGTACATGAGAGCTACAATAACAATCGAAATTTCAATAAGTTGATGCTCAAACCAACCCTAAATACCAAGTAGAATAAGAAACTTATATTAGCTACTCTCACCAGATAACATCGGCCACCAATTGTTGTATAATGCACAAGCCTGCCACAGATTTTTTATAAAAAAACAGTGAGTAAGCATAAACGATATTTGAAATCCAAACCCCCAATCTGGTGATGTATCATCAGGCAGTATTATTAATATCACAAAGGATACAAAAGCCCCTTTCAAATGCAGAAGGCAACTTGAATAACACCCTGCTAGTAGGGTTCTAGATTTTTTTTTTTTTTTGGTCTGAAGGGTTCTAGATTTTGTCTTGGTAGTAAGCTACTATATCAACAAAAGAAAAAGAAGAAGAAAACATCCAATCCGCACAAGAACATTTGAATACTATAATTAAAAAGCAATGCATAAATGTACTCCTACTCACTTTGACATCATTAAACACATCCTAGGAACGAATGTACAAAATCCTCCAATTTCCAATGTCCACAAGTAACCAGAAGAATACTCATTAAAACTGAACCCTAACTTTCTTGCAGGACAATAGCCCAGTTTGTAGCTTTAACTTTTCTTATGCAGTGGGGTTTTCCCAAAAAAAATAAAGAAGAAGTCACATATGCCAACTGCTTCAATAATTTCACTGTTTAAAAGCTCAATTGAACTTGAAAAATATATCTTAGAAATGTTTGGTTCAAAGTGTTTGCAAGATTCATCACAGAGAGCAGAGCACCTTCTTTTCTTTTTTTGATAAGTACAAAAGTTACTGACATGCGCCAAGAACAACAACCCATGCAACACAAGCACACACACCTTAAAGAATAAATAAACAATGCGTGAAGAAAAGGATGAAAGGAAGTGTCGTCCACAAAAATAACAAAGTGAATGCATCAGACGAGAAAACAAGCATAACACCTGATGTTCATAAAGTAAGATGATTCATGAAGATATACGCATGCACATGTGCCTTATTCTTGATGCATCTGCCATATTTGCAAGACAGACTATGTATGGCATAACATAATACTGGGATATAATTACAATTGCACATGCATATATATGAGCGTCTGTTTGAGTACAAGGGCACAAAACTTTCAAAACATAATTATATAGCATTTACTATACAAAAGACAGCACATGATTTAAAGCAACAGGAGATTGCAAAGTATTCCAAACCACTACAAACATTCAAACCATACAAAAATTACCAGGCTACAGCATTTACTATACAAAAGACAGCATGTGATTTAAAGCAACAGGAAATTGCAAAGTATTCCAAACCACTACAAACATTTAAACCATACAAAAATTACCAGGATCTGTAGCAAGATGCTTGCTGAAAACATAAAAGCAAGTCCTGCAAGCCTGTACACAGAGAAATTCGTCATTAGAAGTCTGTTTGAGATAAGCTGCATAACAGGGCTAAGATCACAGAACTAAATTCCTACTTACACTGCAAAGAACACGACCGGTCAACAACACGCAGAGCAACAATGCACCAAAAACAAAAAGGGTTAGTAATCAATGCCATCAAAATATGACTGAAGGTTCAATAATAAACACAATTACATAACTTATCTTATATATAGTCACAGGAATTCATGCTCGACGCATACAACGCAACCCTTTCACAATCTGTGAACTAATGCCCCCAATTTACATATAGCAACCATGCATGAAATTCGAGCTCCCCAATTAACGTTACCGAAAAGTAAGTTGCCACTAAAATCAAATTGATACGATTAACCATTTCTTATTTTTGACCCAAAAAAAAAACCATTTCTTATAAGATATCATATTGGAAATATACATAGAATTTTAAGTTTTTATTTATAAAAAAAAGTTCTGATTAAGATAAGCATTCAAACTGGGGTGTTTGAAATCATAAAATATGATTGTAATTTGTACTAAAAAAGATCAACTACACAAAACCCTAATTAATTGAGCACAATTCCAGAATGTTCAGCTCTCAAGCCCACACGATTCCAGTTCTCCAATTTTTGCAGCGGGGAATTGGAACAAGAGAAAAGGCTTATCTCAGTTTTTTGATATTATTCAACGAAATTCTGCAAAAAAATTTCGTCGCCCAGCCAAAACCAAAATTGATTTGAAAAGAATCGAAGATTTGAGATACATGAAGAGAAGAAAAAAAGAAAAAAGGGAAACACAGTGCATTAAGAATTGTACCTTCAATGGTCATCGCCATCGAAGAGACGAGAGCTCTCTTTGTTGGTAATGACGCCGGAGGAAGGTTCGTGTTCGCTGATCGCGACGGAAGAAGCAAAACGATGAGCTTGCGAAATTGCTGAAGTGTAGGTGTTCCTCGATAGGTCTTCGGTTCAAGCCCAAATTGAAATTAAATAAAACTAAAATTTTAATCAAAGTGGAGTCTGGTTCTTTTTGCCGGGTAACTCTTTGCGGCAGTAAACTGTAAAGGCAGTAACTCCAACTACTTTACTTTCTTTTTTTTGGGGGGTTATGTTTTGATAAACTTTTATTTATTTATTTACTTTTAGCATTAGAAAATGGAAGTAATAATGTAAATCCATTTTGGTGTATGAATCGATAAAACTATTTTTACATTGTAAACTAGGTTACCAATAAAGATGAGATCCACATGAATAACAATTGTTCCTATGATGTTTGAGTTTGTTTATTAATTAAACGAAAACAAAATGAGATCTTCCATAATCATAAAGAACTTAGGCGGAAAAGATTTGATGAGAAATAATTTTCCATGTTTGGTAATGCTGAGAAAGTAACCAGGAAATACCATTTTATTTCACTTCACATAAACTTCTTATGAAAAATGTGCATTTAATATTGGCTCATTTTCCTAAACTTTCCTATGAGGGGGGAAAACAAGACCTAAGGAGGGAGGAGGGGCTTCACATTCCCTCCTACTTTCTCATGTGCCATACAACTATTTCTCATGCTCAAACTTATCAATATGGGAAAGCAATTGATTTACCATCCTCAAGCCTCCTTCTCATGAATCAAACAGGCCTTAACAAAATGAATTTAATAAAAAGAAAAAAGGAAAATATAACAAAAATTTTCTCGCGTTAATGTCATACTTAAGAAAAATTTACATTGATCAACTACCTAATTGTAAACTTTTATTTATTTATTTACTTTTAGCATTAGAAAATGGAAGTAATAATGTAAATCCATTTTGGTGTATGAATCGATAAAACTATTTTTACATTGTAAACTAGGTTACCAATAAAGATGAGATCCACATGAATAACAATTGTTCCTATGATGTTTGAGTTTGTTTATTAATTAAACGAAAACAAAATGAGATCTTCCATAATCATAAAGAACTTAGGCCCCGTTTGATTCATAGAAAAGATTTGATGGGAAATAATTTTCCATGTTTGGTAATGCTGAGAAAGTAACCAGGAAATACCATTTTATTTCACTTCACATAAACTTCTCATGAAAAATGTGCATTTAATATTGGCTCATTTTCCTAAACTTTCCTATGAGGGGGGAAAACAAAACCCAAGGAGGAAGGAGGGCTTCACATTCCTTCCTACTTTCTCATGTGCCATGCAACTATTTTCCATACTCAAACTTATCAACATGGGAAAGCAATTGATTTCCCATCCTCAAGCCTCCTTCTCATAAATCAAACAGGCCTTAACAAAATGATTTGAATAAAGAGAAAAAAGAAAAATATAACAAAAATTTTCTCGTGTTAATGTCGTACTTAAGAAAAATTTACATTGATCAACTACCTAATTGTGCCGGTCAGTCAACATTCACATCAAGACAAGAGGTTCATACTTAATAAAAATTTACACGACACAAAACTTCATTGTGGTATTGGTCAATGAACATTTTGACCATTTCCATTGTCACACGAAAATTGTATTTTACAAATATCTCCCAGTTAAATTAATTCCCGTTTCTCCTTTCCACTCTTAATTATACAACTCTAAATATGCCATTGCCCCTGAAATTGCCAACGATACTAATATATATATATATATATATTTTCATGAACCTTTTAATTTCTAAACCTTCAAGAGCTGCAACTTATTCAAGAAGGCAATAGCAATCCAATCCAACTCCACAGCAGACCAACGCACTTGGTTAATCTGAGCCGTCGCTCCATACCACATCTCTGGCTCCACATTCCCACCACCGTCTGATTGAACCCCAGGTTTGACCACCTCCCAAATCATAGCCCTTGAGTCATCACTCACAGAACATATCTGGTGGCCCATACCTGGGGACCAGGAAATGGCGTTCACACTGGATCCGTGCTTTTTAAGCTCCATGAGAGGAGCTGTAGGAAATCTGATGTCCAAAATCACCACTTTGTTGCTGTCCATGCCCACTGTGGCAATGAATCTTGGGTCTTGCTTGTTCCATTCCAGCCTCAGCAAGGATCCGTCTTGAGATGGGTTTTCATACACTATGGTTGACCTATTGAAAAAATTTGTAGAAAATTATTGTATTTATTAGTAATACGATTAGTAAATCATTCTACTACAATAAATCAAATGCAAATATAGGTTAAGAAAAGACAAATTAAAATTGACTTTTCTCTTCCTTACAATAATAGAACTTCAAATCACAAGATTTATGAATCAGAACTCTGGCGGGCTCAATTTTTTTTACTGTAATTATAGTAGGCTAAATAGAACTGTACGGGGCTTAGGAGAAACTCTCATGCAATGGGGATATCAGTTTTTGCTATTTCTAGTCCATAATGTAATGACATGTATGATAACTTTTTTCACGTGTCTTTGTGTTATTGGTCAAGAATAGCAAAACAGTGTTATCTATGTTACAAATAAGTTTTTTTGCCCCACTTGACCTCATGTATGTCCACCCCTGAATTAGAAGTACGTTGAACTCAGCTACAGACTTCTTATCAACTAGGCAACTAAAACTTAGTCCAGTAGTACTTCTCATTCAATTATCCCAAATTAAAAAAGGTCTCACGTTCGATTCCCCCTCTCAAAACAAATACGGAATAAAAGACTTGAGTTTTCAGTCTAAAAAAATTGCATGCAAAGTAAAATTGTGAATTAACCCTTACCTCTCTTTGTCCCTCAAATCAAAGACCCTGACAGTGCCATCCCCAGAAGCTGAGGCAAACACATTGAAGCCACCCCAAGAAATGTCGTACACTTCTTTATCATGAGCCACCAACTGAGTGTCCACAGCTTCCCTCTCAATGTCCCAAATTGTGCATGTAGTGTCCACACTAGACGTGGCCACACGCTTAGTGTCACACTCAGCCCAATCAAAAGATGTTATAGCCGAATTAAATTCACTGCTACTGTTCCCATTGAGCAGGGACTTGAGCTCAATTCTGTCATCATGGATCTCCCAAAGCCTCAAGTAGTCACCGGATGTGGCAATTAGGTCGGGGTTCGAGGGGTCCTTGGAGGGGAAGAACATGAGGTTGGTGGGTGCGTAAGGGTGGTCAAAAATTAGGCGATTATCGGTAGCGAAATCGGAGGTGTCCCGGTTGAATTGGACTAGCTCAACCTTGTTGCTGTAGTCTTCAATGAAGCTGCCTATGGCAAGGCGTGAGGGCTTGTCATGGCGGACTGACCATGCTAAGGAGTAGATAGGCCACTGGCTTACGTAGGTGTACACTCCTGCTCTTTTCTCTACTGGGCTTTGCATGCTTGGAATAATTGAAATTTGTGTATTTTCTCTCTAGCTGCATGGTGATTTTAGTGTCAAATGTCAAATAATATACAAATTTACAAATTTTCAATTTTTTTTTATTTATACAAACGATATTTTATTTTCATTTAATATAAACTATGAGAGGGGGATTCGAACTCGGGTGCAGAGTAGGGAGCACATCCGCTCTAACCAACTTAGCTAAGCCTAAGCCCGTGTTTGCAAGATATATACATGCAGTCTAAAAAAACAAAACGTACATGTAAAAACAAAGATATAAAATCTTCTAGCTAGGTGCCTACACTTTTATTTTTTAAAAAGAAAAAGAGAAGGCGATCCTCTCCATAAATAAAGTAAAATAAAAATAAAATGGAAGTATTCTGTTATACCTAATCAAGGTTGACTATCAAAACCCCTACATAAAACCCATTGTCTTCTGGAAAGGTTCATGTACTGACAAATTGTGCAGCAGTATCCATTAGACCAAGATGCAGAAGCTCTTTGACTATGATGAGAACTCATTACCACCACCAAAATATAAAAAATAAAAAATAAAAAGATATTTTATTTTCATTTAATATAAACTATGGGAGGAGGATTCGAACTCGGGTGCAGAGTAGGGAGCACATCCGCTCTAACCAACTTAGCTAAGCCTAAGCCCATGTTTGCAAGATATATACATGCAGTCTAAAAAAACAAAACGTACATGTAAAAACAAAGATATAAAATCTTCTAGCTAGGTGCCTACACTTTTATTTTTTAAAAAGAAAAAGAGAAGGCGATCCTCTCCATAAATAAAGTAAAATAAAAATAAAATGGAAGTATTCTGTTATACCTAATCAAGGTTGACTATCAAAACCCCTACATAAAACCCATTGTCTTCTGGAAAGGTTCATGTACTGACAAATTGTGCAGCAGTATCCATTAGACCAAGATGCAGAAGCTCTTTGACTATGATGAGAACTCATTACCACCACCAAAATATAAAAAATAAAAAAGAAAAAGATTGAGTCATTGATGAGAACTCTTCCTCTTGGTTTTGTAAACTTATTTTGATATAATAATATTGTTCCATTATTCCATCTACAACAAATGCACAGTCCTACAGTTAACTATCAAAAACTACCCAGAAAGAAGAAAAGAAGAGAGAGAGAGAGAGAGAGAGAGAGAGAGAGAGAGAGAGACTTACATTGGTGAAAACTCAAGAAGTTTCAGTGGTTATGGGCTGCTTCCAGAGCAAGAGACATATATACAAGGAGGAGGGAGATGAAGAATTTGAGCTTTATGGTGGTAGTTATGAAAGTTGAGGGGGCTATATATAAAAATAGAAATATATATTATTATGAAACAATAAATATATATGAAGTAGGGGAGACAGCAGAAATCAAAAGAAGAGAATGGAAGGTGAGGGCGTGAAAGCTAATAGCCAGTCAATATCTATATGACGAGAAGAGAAGGTTTGGTTATTATTTTCATTTCATTTATACTATTTCAGACCCCTTATACTACAACTACTCAA